GAAGTGAAAGGAAGGGCGGGGGGGGGGCGAGGGGATGAGTTCTGAAATTCTTTTGCTTGATAAGTATATTACCCTCCAAGCAAGTAGGACTTCTCTTTCCGTATCAAATGACATCACATCAACACCAACAATAGGAGAACATGATTTAAGGGTCATCACATTGCGAATAAGTGGCTGGTCTTCTCCTTGTAAAGTAACCAAATTAGCAATCTGAAAGAAATGACAATTTTCAGATCAAAAGCAATAACACAGTGCACTAATTTGCAGGTGATAAAAGAGAAGGCAAGGGACCTGGATAACAGGATCATGGCTAGGCTCGGGAAAGTGACCTTTACGACCAGCACACTCAATGTCAAAACTCAATATGCGAAATGGAGCCATCTTTGAATACTCCCCTTCTGGAGCATGACTAATCAAATCAGAATACCTATAATATTGTTAAGGGGAGAACAGAAAAAATCTAAAGATTTTGGTATTCTCATAACCCTTAAACCCAGTTATTAACACATGAAAGAGGATACAGGCAATCAAACTCCAACTGGCAATAAGACAAGCTTTTCACTATCTTTTTATATTTTCCTGCCAGAATTTCAATCCAATTTCCACCAACTATGTTGCAATCAATCATGAACCGTAGAGCAAAAAGTACATTGCTTTCATAAGTCAAGAAGCTCTTCATTCCCAGACCATCAAGCTGAATACCCCTATCAAGAATACCTAAAAGTTTTGAAATATTGTTAAGAAACATTGATCCACAAGTGAAGTAATGTCGACAAAAACAACTGTCAAAAAAATGTTGACACACTAGTGTCAAAATGCATGAAGCTAAGATTTAATATTTAGCCCAAAGTGTGTCATACGGCCATCAGAACCAGTAATGCAGCTTAAACATAAATATATTGGAAAATAAAATGTCCATTAAAAATATAGAAGTTTACCACGGCAGCTGGCAACCATTGTTGGGAGTGCAACTACTATTTTGAGAAAGGGCTGAGAATCAGATTGCTGATAGTACATAATACTTCTCCTCTGCACCATTTCAATGCGGCGAACGAATTTTCCTACATTACTATTTCTATTGGCTTCTCTCATCCTTCCCTGAAATTTGCAATTAAAGCAATTTGCAAGTTAAATAAATGAACCCTATTCCCTTTCTAGATTGAAAACCAGAAAAAAAAAATGTATTTTCAGGTACCTCAAGTGCTTGGTGAAAATGAGAGATATCATCTGGACCCATTCCAGGAGGGCAAGAGATGTAGAAATATGGTTCAAAGCCGTGAACATTGCAGCAAACACTGTGTCCTAACAAACAAACAAAATACAAGTTAATTATATAATTTCTACAAGGTATTGCATGGCTGGCTTCCCATAATCATAAGTACAATGATAGGTCGTATATAATTTTTATTTTTAAAACAACTTTTTCAAACAAACACTTGACTAGTTCTCTCAAAAACATACTATTTCTAGGCACATAAAGTCATTGTTTGATGATTGTAATAATTGGAAAATCCAGACATGAATTATGCAAGGTAACTGATCATGCAAGAAAGCAAAATCCAAACATGATGTTGGGCTATACAAAATAAGCACAAGTTTGTCGAAATCCTCAACTTTCCCTTTTCTGAAACATTCATTACTTCATATCTAGAATCAAACAAACTATTTGTGCACTAGGTTGATAAATCTTAATTTGGCAACCAAAAGATCTAACAAACTCAAATAAGTTTGGTTTCCTAAGCATACATATAGTTTGTTCAAGCTTTCAGCTATGGAACCAGACTAAAATTGTGTATCTATGCATATATTGCCCAACATTAATATATTCATAGATTAGATTTTTACTTATCATGAAACTTTTTACATTAATGGGTTATTTATATCTATTGATTATGCTTTTAATAAGACTTAAAGGCAATTTGTTGATAAGTGGATCGTGTAAAAAAAGTGAAGTCAATTTAGTGTTTATATAAGAAAAACTGGTTGACCTAAAACTGACTTGGCAGAACTGAAACAAAACAATTGAGATGGATTTGCTTTAATCCATTTCTCCACTTACAAGAACGTACTGGTTCAGTGCCAATAATTTTTCCCTAAAAACTGGACCACCCGAAACTCCAAACACTTCTAATATAAACCACCCTTGACTTAGTGATAGAAAACCAACAGAAACGCTCAAACGCATCATCAACTACTATTTTTCTCTTTTTGTTGTTTCAAATTTCTAAAACTGGCGACAGTTCGTTGGGTGGGTCATTCAGGTTTTCTTTCTTCCCTACAAGCTCGCGCAANTCTCAAAAACATACTATTTCTAGGCACATAAAGTCATTGTTTGATGATTGTAATAATTGGAAAATCCAGACATGAATTATGCAAGGTAACTGATCATGCAAGAAAGCAAAATCCAAACATGATGTTGGGCTATACAAAATAAGCACAAGTTTGTCGAAATCCTCAACTTTCCCTTTTCTGAAACATTCATTACTTCATATCTAGAATCAAACAAACTATTTGTGCACTAGGTTGATAAATCTTAATTTGGCAACCAAAAGATCTAACAAACTCAAATAAGTTTGGTTTCCTAAGCATACATATAGTTTGTTCAAGCTTTCAGCTATGGAACCAGACTAAAATTGTGTATCTATGCATATATTGCCCAACATTAATATATTCATAGATTAGATTTTTACTTATCATGAAACTTTTTACATTAATGGGTTATTTATATCTATTGATTATGCTTTTAATAAGACTTAAAGGCAATTTGTTGATAAGTGGATCGTGTAAAAAAAGTGAAGTCAATTTAGTGTTTATATAAGAAAAACTGGTTGACCTAAAACTGACTTGGCAGAACTGAAACAAAACAATTGAGAGGATTTGCTTTAATCCATTTCTCCACTTACAAGAACGTACTGGTTCAGTGCCAATAATTTTTCCCTAAAAACTGGACCACCCGAAACTCCAAACACTTCTAATATAAACCACCCTTGACTTAGTGATAGAAAACCAACAGAAACGCTCAAACGCATCATCAACTACTATTTTTCTCTTTTTGTTGTTTCAAATTTCTAAAACTGGCGACAGTTCGTTGGGTGGGTCATTCAGGTTTTCTTTCTTCCCTACAAGCTCGCGCAACACTATAAACAAACAAATCAGTAATGTTTATCTCCGATTGTCTAAGAAACCAAATTTTGCGACATAAAGACAGCATAAACACGAGCATACCTTCTTTCGTAACACCAAAAATTCTGATAATAGCAGCAGGTCCAGACAAGTTCGGCAGCAACTCCCTGTGACTCTCCCCGATCACATAATCAATCTCCAACTGCTGAAAAACTAAAAGCCAGAAACAGAAACTCAGAGCACAAACCAATAAAACTCCGCCAATGATAGGGGGAAAACAAAACCCTAGACGAGGGGAAAACAATTTACGGAAAATACGCACCGACGCCTCGAGATTGTGCGACGTAATCATCGGAGAGAGGAGGACGCGTCCACTTGGATAGCCGCGCGGCGAGGGCCTGGCGCTGCTCGATGTCGCGGAGAATGAGGGACTCTTCATCTTCTGAAACAAGGGTTTGGTCGATGAACACGTCTTCGTCCATGAAGTCCTCTTCCTGAGTCATTAAGACTTGCTTTGGCGGCGGAGGTTGTGGCGCCACCGCCGACGCCGCGCGCTTTCGTGAAGCGTTGCTCATTGGAACCGGAAGAGAGAGCCGGTAGAGAAGTGGGAGAATGTGGTGTGAAAGGCTAACGAGTTCCCGCCAGTTTTTGTTAAGAGTTGTTTGTGAGATTTTCCCGCTTGCGAGACACGTGATCTATACTGTGTGTGAATGAGATTATTACAATTACATGAGTTGAGATGGGATATTCTTCTCTTTTCACTTAGGTAACAGAACATTTGGCATTTTGATATGATTGTTGGAGCTTTTAAATACACGTTATATTATTATATGAAATATAAAAATTATTAAACTGCAAAGTTTCTTTTTCTGATAGAAATTTTGTCTTTACTTTAATTTACAAAATTTATCCCGTCAAAAATTTAAAACACATTAAATATGAATAAGAATATGTAATACTAGAGAAAATATCTACGCAAATAATTATTATTTTTTATGATAATAAAAAATAATAAAATTAGTATTATCATTATAAAAATAAATTTTAAATAATTTTATTGTAGATAATATATATTTACATAATTTTTTATTATAATAGTTAATTTAGTTTAAAAAATAGTTAAACTTAAAAAATTGTTAAATTAAAAAATAATAATTAAATTTAAAAATAAATGTTACTTAAAAGATAAAATTGGTTAAAATATTATTTATATTTAAAAAATACTAAAATGGTATAATATCATAAATTGATTATCCATTTATATAATTTCCATTTGTTACAAAACGGTGATATAACGCAATCAAAAAAGAAATAATATATCATTTATAAATAATTTCATTCACATATAATATTATATCTATTCATAGAATCACTGTATTTTTCCTAATT